GTTTTTTGCAGAGACGGGGCCTTACTATATTGCCTAGGCTGGTTTGACTCCTGGGCTCATGTGATCCTCCCACCTTGGCCTCTGAAAGTGCTAGGATATAAATGTGAGCCACTGTGTCCAGCCTGAATTTTCTTTTAAAGTAAACACTGAGCGGGGAGGGGAAATGAACCTCTAGTTGTTTCTCAAATGCTTATTGCTATAACCTCTTTAAAAAACCAGCAAAGATTATATCATGTGTCGTTTTCAGAATGTTAAGACAGCACTTGAAAGATTGCTACTGTTATGGAAAGTATTATGGGATTTCATATATCTTCTGACTATAAAGCATTATGTTCTAAAGTATAGTAGAAAATTTCTGATTATAAATATGTTTTGACAGTTATAACTTTACTTTTATAAATGATGGTTACATGTTTCTTTAAAAAACATTTATGGCCAGGCTCATGCCTATAATTCCAGCACTTTGAGGGACTGAGGCGGGATGATTCCTTGAGCCCAGGAATTTGAGACCAGCCTGGGCAACAGAGCAAGACATTGTCTTTCTAAAAAACCCCAAAACTTTTCTGACACACTTTATCTATTCAGTTAAGAATAGAACCTGTGGATATGATGAAAGGGTTGCTTTCTTAGTTAGTTTACATTATATGGTAAATGGTGATGGGAAAATCACTCTTGGATTATGCTATGATCTTATAAGACTTCATCACAGCAGACTGGAGAGAGGTTGGAAGTTAGAGAGAGCTGCTCTTCCTGCCTGGAAGGAAGCAGACATCATATGAGCTGCCTCAAGGAACTGCAGGTGCCTCCAGGAGTGAGAGCAGTGTCCAGCTGATAGCTAGCAGGAAATGGGGACCTCAGTCCTACAACCACAAGGGGCTGATCCTGCCAACAATTTGCATGAGGGTGGAAGAGGACCCCGAGCTTCAGATGAGAAGGTGGCCCAGGCCACACGCCATATTTGCAGCCTTGTGAGACCCTCAGTGTGCCTAGCTGTGCCTGACATGGAAACGATGACATAATAAATCTGCATTGTTTCAAGCTGTTAAATTTGTAGAAATTTGTTACATGACTTAGAAAATGAAAACAATAACCTTAAGGAGATTATTGAACAGAGCTTACATTTTTTTTCATTTGGAAAACAAGAATCGTAGTTCTTTATAGGAAAGTTATAGGATTAAATGAAGCGTTGATGAAAGGACTGGAAATCAGTAGGGTGTCAGGCAGGTTGGTATGTCAGGCTGGGTAGGCATTGCTTCCGGCACATGGCCCTGGGAAGGGTCACCAAGAGAGTGATTTTTGCACCTTTGAGGGGAGGTATCTTACTAGTCCTAAAACTGTAGTTTGCAGTTTGCGGGTACTCCTAGGCCAGTGCAGGGCGTAGTGGTACAGATACAAATTGCTGAATTTCTGTTTGTGTTTTGTTGAACAGATGTCCCTGAAATCTACCTAGAGCAGGAGAAAATTATGAACTTTGATTATGATCCAAACAAAAACCGCATCTTTTGGAGAATGTTATTTAAAATCAAGTGAGCTGTCCGTCTCTCCCTTCCTCCCCCCCTTGTCCCCTACTGTCCCCTCTGCCGTCTCCTAAAAAGAAGAAAAAGGAGAGAAATAAAATCGAGTAAGCTGGGGAAAGGAAAGTTAATTTGAGGAATTAGAGCAATAACATCTGAAATATAGATAACTTTCGATTTATCTGTATTTGAATGTTATGGAAACATCTTTTTAAAAAAATTAGTCTTGGCCGGGCATGGTGGCTCAAGCTTGTAATCCCAACACTTTGGGAGGCAGAGGCGAGAGGATTGCCTAAACCCAGGGATTCGCGACCAGGCTGGGCAACGTGGTGAGATCTTGTGTCTACAACTGAAAACTAGATAAATAAAAATAAAAATAATTAGCCGGGCTCAGTGACTCAGCCTGTAATCCCGCACCTTTGGGAGGCTGAGGTGAGTGGATTGCCTGAGCCCGCGGGTTCGAGACCCGCCTGGGCAGCGAGACCTCATCTCTACAGTGAATCAAAAAATCAGCCGGGCGTGGGAGCGCATGCCTGTAATTCCGGCTACTCGGAAGGCTGAGGCGGAAGGATCGCCGGAGCCCAGCAGGTCGAGGCTGCGGTGGCCGGGAGCGGCCACTGCACTCCAGTCTGGGTGACAGAGTGAGACTCCAACTCAAAAATAAATAAATAAATAAATAAAAATAAAAATAATTAATCTCAAACTTACAGAAAATGTGCTTGTATGGCATAAATAACCTTTTCCCTTGAATTCTTTGAGATTGAGTTGCCAACGTTATAACCATCACCCTCAAATACTATAACATGTATTTTCTCTTTCTTTCGTCAGGGTCTCACTCTGTTGCCCAGGCTAGAATAAAGTGGCACAATCTTGGCTCACCACAACTTTGACCTTTTGGGCTCAGGCAATTCTTCCACCTCAGCCTCCTGAGTAGTTGGGACTACAGGTGTGCACCACCACACCCTTCTAATTTTCTGACACTTTGTAGAGACGAGGGCTTGCCGTGTTGCCCAGGCTGGTCTAGAACTCCTAGACTCAAGCAGTCCTCCCACCTCAGTCTCCTAAAATGCTGAGATTACAGGTGTGAGCCATGTACCCAGCTATTGCATGCATTTTCTAGATAGCCACACACAATTGTCAGAATTGGGTAATTAGGGTTGATACATTGTTACCACCGAATCCTCAGATTCCATTCAAGCTTTGCCAACTTTCCCAATAGAGCCCTCCACAGCAAGAGGACCCAGCGTAGAGTCACACTTTGCCTTTGGTTGTTACATTGTTTGCTTCTGTCTGTCGAGAATAATTTTCTGTCTTTCTTTGGGTTTCATGATCTTGATATGTTTGAAGACTTAGGCTGATTATTTTGCAGATTGTCCCTTACTTTGGGTTTGTCTGGGATTTCCTCCTCATTAGATTCAGCTTGCACGTCATTGGCAGGAATGTCACAGAAGCAATGCTGTGTGTTCTTCTCACTCCTTCACCTGGCACATGATTTCAGTTTGTCCCATTCCTAGTGATGTTCACTTTGATGATTTGATTAAAGTTATGCCTTCCAGGCTTCTTCGCTGTAAAATTACCCTTTTCTCTTTGTAATTAATTAGTGTTTTTGATGGGAGATCCCTTGAGACTATGTCAATATCCCATTACTCGTTAAATCTTCAGGTAATTAATTTATATCTGTATAACTTATGGTTTCCTATTTTCTACAATGGATTACTATGTGTTAGCACCTTCTGTATTGTTTTGATGTCCAAATTATCTCAGATTTGGCCAGTAGGAACCCTTAAACTGACTTCTCTGTGTTTTTGGACACGAACCCACAATTCTGTGGGTGCATTGCTGCTTCCTGGGACAATAGGATGTTTCAGGCTTGTCTTGGGCCTTCCCTAGTCCAGTCCTGGAATCGGCTGTTTTCCCTTGGATCCCTGTTTCCTCTTAGTGGAGAATGATATTTATAAACCAAGATCTGGGTGCTCTTTGCTCATTCCTGATGTCCCTGTTCCCAGACCCTTGCAAGGGATAGAGTTAGGGAATATATTATATATTTATGCATATATAGGTGTGCACATGTCTGTGTTTCTATGTCTGTATCTTTTGAAAATCATATGTTCATCTCAGTATCTTTGATTCCAATTCAGTACCATAAGATTTGGTCTAATTTACCCCCTTTCCATATTTGCATTTCCTTATTTCCCTTCTTTAATCCAAGGAATCTGGCTCCTATGATTCTTTTTTTTTTTTTGAGTCTGGGTCTCACTCTGTCACCTAGGTTGGAGCGCAGTGGCACCATCATGGCTCCCTGCAGCCTCGACCTGCTGGGCTCAGGTGATCTTTCTGCCTCTGCCTCCTGAGTAGCTCCACCATGCCCAGCTAATTTAAAATTTTTTTTGGTAGAGATGTGATCTCTCGCTATGTTGCCCAGGCTGGTCTTGAACTCTTGGACTCAAGCAGTCCTCCTGCCTCAGCCTCCCAAAGTGCTGGCATGACAGGCATGAGCCACCATGCCTGGTCTTGATTCTTTTTTTTGAGTTGGAGTCTCACTCCATCGCCCTGACTGGAGTGCAGTGGCACGCTCCCAGTCACTGCAGCCTTGACCTGCTGGGCTCCAGCGATCCTTCCACCTCAGCCTTCTAAGTAGCCAGAACTACAGGCATGTGCTGCCATGCCCAGCTAATTTTTGATTTATTGTAGAGTCGAGGTCTCGCCAAGTTGCCCAGGCGGGTCTTGAACCTCAGGCAATCCACTCGTCTCAGCCTCCCAAAGTGCTTGGGATTACAGGCTGAGCCACCAAGCCTGGCCTCAATTCTTAATATATCTACTTATTCAATCAATACCTCTGTATGACAAGCATTTTTCTGTTGCTGCCACTGTTCCTCATTCAGGTGGACACATTCTTCACTCCATTCTGAGCTTTAATACTCTGTACTTTGGACTGTACAGAGAAGCCTTCTTCACCCTGCTCAGGATCCAGTGCCACTCACTCCATTCACCCATGTGGGCAACCTGTTTACTGGACCGTTATTAACAACAACAACTGCTTCATTTTTGCACAGCTGATCTATGCTCATTGCACAACATTCAAACTCTATAGAAGACATTCCCTCTTTCTTTTTTTTTTTTTTTTTTTAGTTAGAGTCTCACTCTGTTGCCCAGACTGGAGTGCAGTGGCCGCTCCCAGCCACCACAGCCTCGACCTGCTGGGTTCCGGCGATCCTTCCGCCTCAGCCTTCCGAGTAGCCGGAATTACAGGCATGCGCTACCACACCTGGCTGATTTTTTTGATTTATTGTAGAGATGAAGTCTCGCTGCCCAGGCGGGTCTCAAACCCGCGGGCTCAGGCAATCCACTCACCTCAGCCTCCCAAAGGTGCGGGATTACAGGCTGAGCCACGGAGCCCGGCTTTCAACTATGCAGTGTTGTGACCAGGAAGAGGTTTAACCGAGATATTGTAACAATAACCTTTTTTCCCTCCTTGCTCTGCTGTAGGACACAATGATTATATTTGTCCAGCTACAAACCAGTGTACGATCGACAAGAACCGGCGGAAGAGCTGCCAGGCCTGCCGACTCCGCAAGTGCTATGAAGTAGGAATGGTGAAGTGTGGTGAGTGCTTGCTTTTCCTCTTACTGAATGGGGCCATGCTAGCATGGTGTCTTCTGAGGTCCTGAGGACAGGTAGCCTGGAGGAGAGGAGATTCAGGTTGTGATCATGATCTTAAAGCATGTGTGTGTTGTCTCACTGGAGGGGGTATTGACTTACTTTCTGCAGCTGCAGAGAGCAGAGCTGGGGTGAATGGAGCACGTTGCAGGAGGCAGATATTGGCCCAAGGTCAGGAAGAAGGTTCTACAGTTCTAGTGGGCTGGCCATGGAATAGGCCAACACAGGGTTAGTGGGCTTCTGGTTTCTGACATTCTCACACAAGGGCTGGATGGCCACATGCCTGAGACCTTGACGAGCCCAAGTTCAAGAATGAAGTCCTGGTCAGCGTCCTCAGTGACTGCTTATAATGAGAAAGTAAAATATCTTTTGGATTACTTGGGTGGCCACAGGGAAGACTCATACCTATCCCAGTACTAGTGTTTTAGAAGTAGAAAAGAATAAGGCTGGGCATGGTGGCTCACACCTATAAATCCCCACACTTTGAGAGACTGTGGTGAGAGGATTTCCTGAACCTAGGGGTTCGAGACCAGCCTGGGCACCTTGGTGAGACCTTGTCTCTATAATAAATCAAAAAAGGAGCTGATCGTAGTGGTACACACCTGTAGTTCCAGCTATTTGGAAGGCTGAGGCAGAAGGATCACCTGAGCCTCGGAGGCTGAGACTGCAGGAGTTGTGAACATGCCATTGCACTCCAGCCTGGGCAACAGAGTGAGACTCAACTCAAAAAAGAAGTAGAAAAAAAATTATAGGAGTCAGAAACATGACAGAACTATGAAAAATACACAGAGCATAGATTTTGTTCTATGAAAGTATATATGAGTATATAGCATATAATATACACACATTCACATATAAACATATGCACATACATGAACACAAGGAAAAATGAGTATTTTTGTATAACAGTTGTCAAAGATGCCTACGTCCTGCCCTCTCTACCTGGCTAGCGTTTGGTTCACCTATCTGTACACATTTGCTTATGCATACACACTCGTATTGACCAATATTTTACCTGTGATTAGTTATAATCTCTCTCTTTGTAATTATTTGAATATTTAAAACAACAGCCTGACAATTTCTAAGTAGCTCTGGTTCTTGAACATTCTCTGCTGCTTTCTGCTTCTGTGTGTATATAGTAGGTTAGAGCCCTCACCTGGTCCAGAACTACAGCTGAAGTTCTCTTAACTCAGCACTCTCCTCTCCTTCCTGGAGTTCTGGCCTTCTCCATTTCCCCTTAAAACCTGCCAACACCCACAACCTCACAGTGTGTGTCGGTTACTCCCTCAAATGCTCGAACATTCCTGTACCCACCACTTCAGTTATATTCTTATCAGAAACCAGGGAGCGTCTTTCCAAATCTGCATATTTGTTACCTTATACAATTTAATGAAAAGTATGCAGACATGAAATATGAGTAGGAAAAGTTGTTTCTCTGAAAGCTTACTTGAAAGTTTTAAATAAAACCATAAAGGATGAATAGCTATTGAGTTAGGTTTTGGTGAGATTGGAGAAAAAGGAAAATCACAAACCTAGGAAGACTGTGAATTCAGATTTCCTTGGAAGTGTCTAGATTCTTGCACTGTTTTAAAGAAGCTGAAGCTGAAAATCCAGAGATAATGTCTCATGGGTGTGAATTATGCAGAAAAGCCACTTGTCTCTTTAAGCAGAGATGCTGAAAGAGAAAGCCTGGGCCCTCTGACCAAAGATTGCAAATAAATGTTTTATGTTTTCTGTTAAGGTCAATGTATGTGTTTTTTGAGAAAAATGCTTTCCAACCTAGTCTTGTGGTAGGAATGCTTTTATTATTATTATTATTTAAAAAAAATTTTTTTTTTTTGAGTTGGAGTCAGTCTCACTCTGTTGCCCAGACTGGAGTGCAGTGTCACACTCCCGGCCACTGCAATCTCGCCCTGCTGGGCTCCGGCGATCCTTCCGCCTCAACCTTCCAAGTAGCTGGAACTGTAGGTGTGCACTACCACGCCCAGCTAAGTTTTGATTTATTATAGAGACGAGGTCTCACCAATTTGCCTGGGTGGGTCTCGAACCCACGGACTCTCACAATCCACTTGTCTTGGCCTCTCAAAGTGCTGGGATTGCAGGCTGAGGCACCGAGTCCAACCAGGAATGCTTTTACTGTATTAGGATCTGTTGCCTAAATGTAACCCTCATAGTTCAGAGTTTGTGGTGGGAGGAGTTATGAGTGTTGGATCCCATAGACAGAGTCTCATTTTTGTTTCATTGCTTTTCTCTGACTGTGGCTGTGCTAAAACTACTTGCCCTCTCTGGCCCTTGAGCAGAAATATCTGCTTTCCCGGGTTTTGTGACATATATGAGGGGAAACACCATCCCCCAAAATCAGAATTTATTTATACAATATTATATATTTATTCTTACACGTTTAAACTTCAGTCACTTTCAAAGGTGCATCTCCCTTTGGTGCAGTACACCTATTGGGATTCTTTTTCCACTGCTCAGAACAGTTTCTGAACTTATCAATTTCAATGCCTGTTAGTGCTTCTGCTGTTTTTTTGTTTCACCTCTTCCACAATGGCAAAACGTCTCCCTTTGAGGACTTTTTTTTATCCAGGAAACAAAAACAAAAGTGGCTCAAGGTGAGACTGGGTGAATAGGGAGGGTAGGGCATGGGAGTCATACTGTTTTTGGTCAAAAATTGCTGAACACTCAATGTGATGTGGGCATGTGTGCTTGTAAAACACCCATCATAAAATGGGCAAATCATTAAAGAATCTCCAAAAAAAAAAAAAAATTCACTCAAGTCAGGTGCGATGACTCACACCTGGAATCCCAGCACTTTGGGAGGCAGAAGTGAGAGGATTGCTTGCACTCCATGGGTGGGCCAGACTGGACAACTTACTGAGACCTTGTGTATACAGTAAATCAAAAAATTAGCCAGGCATGGCGGTGTGCACCTGTAGTTCCACTTACTTGGAAGGCTGAGGTAGAAGAATCACCTGAGCCCAGCAGGTTGAGGCTGCGGTGGCTGTGAGTGCACCACTGCACTCCAGCCTGGGTGACAGAGTGAGACTCCAACTAAAAATAAAAAATCATTGAAGCTGAATGCAGCCTCTCACAACAACGCTAGCTAATACACTGATGCCAGTAGGTTCCTGGAACACTTACCTTGCCTGCCCTCCAGAAAATAATTCTGTTTTTTGGGGGGCTACCCCTCATATAAAGACTTAGCATGTGTCTGGCACTCAGTCTTTTAGTTTTTCTCTTTTTCTCCCTTGTGGAAATGCTCATCAAAGTGATGAGTTTTGATCCAATACAGTTACATAAGACAGAGCATAGAGAGATCATTAAAGTGTTTTTCGTGGAAAAGGGAACCAGAGAAAAGGTTGTTGAATTTAGCCAGAAAGTTACTGGATAGGGCTCTCTAAGAAGCATTATATTCTCTTTGGAGATTGCAGAAGAAATGAATGGGTTGATGTGCCCACGTAGTTGGGTATTTTGTCCTTCACTGAGCACAGGGAAAAACCATGAAGGATGAACTTTCTTAACCAAGTCTGTCTCCTTTCCTACCATTTTTCGTCTCTGCCCTCCCCAAAGCCTTCTACCCACATTTTTCCTTCTATCTAGTCCTGGAGGAGTAGGGGTTCTGCCTATGTTCTGGATCCTTCTCTACTATTCTGCTTCCGCTTTTTTCAGCAAGCATGTCTCTTCTGTTAGCACCTTTTTCTTCTTTGTTTCTGATCTTTTCCACTGAAGTTTTGATAAATGGTTATTTAAATGGTAGGATGACACCCACCTAGACTAACTTCAGGGCTAAAGCTTAATGATAAGGATACAATGAAATATAAAAAGCCAGGAAAGCGATCTGAATAGCCATGAATTTGGTCTGTGTCCCTGTGTTGGGACAGTAGCTTGGCATCTTTTGGATTCTGTCTCTTTATTCACCTGCTGTATATATTTCCATGAAAGTGTATGTCAGAGGTAGGTGGTACAAAATAGTGTTTAAAAGCACCAGCTTTGCTAGGCACGGTGGCTCATGCTTATAATCCCAGCACTTTGGGAGGCCGAGGCGAGAGGATTGCCTGAGCCCACGGGTTCGAGACCAGCCTGGACAACTTGGCGAGACCTTGTCTCAACAATAAATCAAGAAAAATTAGCTGGGCATGGTGGGTACACACCTATAGTTCTAGCTACTTGGAAACCTGAGGTAGAAGGATCACCTGAGCCCAGCAGGTTGAGGCTGCAGTGTCAGTGAGCATGCCACTGCAATCCAGCCTGGGCAGCAGAGTAAGACTGACTTAAACAAGCGAACGAACAAACAAACAAAGCCCCAGCTCTGGATTCAGACTACTGCTTGGGCATTGATTCAGCTTCTGCTGTTTTCTGCTTTGGTCAAGTTATTTGAGCTCTCTTATGCTGGTTCTTCCTCTGTAAGTGGGTGTATAATAGCTCCTGTCCTGTATGACAGTTGTCAGGGCAAGGTAATCTACACACAATGCACAATGCCTGGTACACAGAGGCTTCCAGTAGATGTTAGCTACCATCATTATTGTTTAGGCTGGAGCTGTTTACCACTGCCTAATCTGAAATACTCCTATTTGGTTTCTTTTTTCTTTTTTTTTTTTGAGTTGGAGTCTCACTCTGTTGCCCAGACTGGGGTGCAGTGGTCACTCCCGGCCACCGCAGCCTCGACCCGCTGGGCTCCGGCGATCCTTCCGCCTCAGCCTTCCAAGTAGCTGGAACTACAGGCGCGTGCTACCACGCCCGGCTAGTTTTTGATTTATAGTGGAGATGAGGTCTCGCCAAGTTGCCCAGGTGGGTCTCGAACTCGCGGGCTCAGGCAATCCACTCACCTCAGCCTCCCAAAGTGCTGGGATTACAGGCTGAGCCACCAAGCCCGGCCTATTTGGTTTCTTACTAGTCTCTTCCTTCCTTCCTTCCTTCCTTCCTTCCTTCCTTCTTTCTTCTTT